CATGTGAGTCGTATGGATTCAACGCGGATACCGAAACAAATCTTATATGGTCAGCTGACTATTGGGAAGCGGCATGTGGGGAAACCAAAGTTACGTTGCCAGGACATGATTAAAGTGAGCCTCTCACGTTCTAATCTTGAATGCAGGTCATTGGAATCGAAGGCGATTGATCGGCGTGCATGGCGCGATCTTATCACGAAGGCAGTTGCCGAAGTGCGGGAGAAAGACCACATACTTGTAGAGAAGAAACGGCAAGTGCGGAAATGAAAGGCACCGATGGGTTGTACTTCATCGACATCGAGCGCATGGTGCTATAGCACATGCGGTCGCGAGTGCCTGAGTCAGGCAGGCCTAGTGAGCCATGAGGGAGGCCACTCGGGACTACCACCGAATCGATGACGGGTCCTGCAGAGAATGTAGGCAGAACCGGCGCAGCGTTTGTAGCTACACTGCACTCAATTTACTAACCGCGTGCTTGCATGCTAAGTCTATTTATTTCAGGTGGTGGGTTTGCAATTTTGTCCTAATGCCTTTCTTTCTGATATAAATGTCTACCTGTACTCTCTTCTATAAACATGCACACGTCGCTTAAGCCAATTGTAGTTAATTTCGATAACATTTTCGTGTTTGTGACATTTCCGTTAAATATACTTTCTGACCCCCTGAACTTATTTTGGATTCTTTTGCAAACAACTTATTTCATATGCTCATTAATTTAAGGTTTGTGTCACCGTTTCCTTACGCATTACTCGATTTATTTTCTTTGTTATCTTTCAAGTGATTGGCTGTTGCTTGATATCACCGATGTGACTGCGCTTGATGTGCATGTTGACAAGGTGTCTACCTGTCTAGTACCCACTACCTCGTCTATACTGGCTCTAGGAGACAGTTGGTCGTTGCTGGAGGGGACAGGGTGCACGGTCCTTGTGGTCGTGTTAGGATCAAAGAGTAGTTCTATGCACTCAGTGTGGAGCGGACTACGGTCCAGCCACCGCCTTGTGTGCGCTTGATTCCCCAAATACAGCGTGCCTGTTTTTGCCTGTGAAGGAGTGTGGGCCGGCTCTGTTGATGGAACGTGGCTTCCATCCACATGCCTCTCGGTCTTATTCATTCGGGTTTACACTGGATATGGGGTGTGTTGTTGGAGCTGTGGGTGGTGCAGCTCAAGCCATCCATGGTCCCTCTGTAGGCGCAGGCGTCCTGTGGCTGGCCACAGTGACAGGCAAATCCGAAACCAGATGCTGCCAACCATATGCAACGTATTAAGTGTTATTGAGAAAAAGATGCAAAAGTGAAAGCGCACTGAAAACAAAAGTGCCTGTAATTACCGAGGAGGAGTTGCTCAGATCCAGTGGGAACCCTAAGTGAATACCTGGATACTCGCCCTTTGACGTATGGCAATACAACTTCCGGTGACGCATCAAATTTCTTTGGACGTGGCATCTTCGTTGCTTATCCTAAGTTCCTGCAAGCCTGCCGCTTGCATCAGAATGAAGGTAAGATTTCAGTACTCGTATGGCAGCTGGGAGCTTTCTGGCAAAGACTACTCGGAATCCATGGCTTAAAACGCTATCCAACCTAGCGTAAAATAGCTTCAACGCTGAACATAGACAAATGCGTTCAATGTACACGGATGTGCATAAGCCATAAACGGATGGTATCTTACACAGTAAGAATTTTACAAAGGAAATCTAACAACGCAATTGTGTTGTCATATTCAAGTGGGACTGGAACAGTAGGATAAATTCCTGTGAATGGTCCTTCTGTGGCGTGTTGTTGATCCAGGGTAGTATTTGCCCGCAATAACTGGAATCTAGAGGAGTCAGATCAGCAGGCGCGAATCACACCACGGTCAACCAATTAATACCCACAAGACCTGCATTGGCAGTTCCCGCCGCACCAGACGTGATATAAGAAACAGGAGTAGAAAGTAATAAGGGCGTTAAGAACTAAAAAGTAATAGACTTAATAACGCAATAAGGCGAATAAGCTAAGATGTTAAAGGGGAAACTTAAGAACTGAAGGCCGAGAGTGTCAAGTCGGTGTTCGAACTTGTTCACGGTTGGTGCTGGTACCACGTTCTCGAGCTGTGTATTCCAGGAATCCACCGCTCGGTGTGATAAACGAAAGTCCTCCCGGATTTCATCCGATCGAGGTGTGTAGCTTCGTCGAGTGATCTCGGAGAGATGGAAGCCGAGCCGGTTGGAAAAGCCCAGATAAATCTGGCCCGATTTTATCGGTAAGTAAGCGATAGATAAAGATCAGGTAGCCTCGATGGCGACGATAATGCATTCAGAACATTCCCAGCTTAAGTAGTCATTCTGAGTAAGAAAGATTCCGTAGTCCATGAATCATTTTGGTTCCAACTCTTCAATGACATCCTGTCCTTGACTAAGCAAGGTGAACAAGCCTGGTTGCAGTATTCTAAGTGTGACCTGACAAAGGCTGAGAATAACCTAATAAACATAGCGTCCGTGATGGTCCCGAATGCCCTGTGGACCATCCACAACATTCTGAAACCCTTGCACGTAGGTTTCCTCCAGTTCGCAATGGATTTAAGTTCTGAAGATGTGGCCCCTAGGTCTACCAGTTGGGAAATATGCTGTAGTTCATTCCCGCAAAACAGATAACGCGTTTAAGGGGCCATTTGGCCCTAATGGGAAAATGGAGCAGTGTATAATTTATGGGCAACTGCCACAGAACAGCCCAGACCCAAAGTTACAGTCTGTGATCCATCGAGGTTGGACACTGTGTGCCAAAACTTTGGGTCGTCTGCAAACATGAGAGATGGTACCCCCAACAGTTAGGGCAGCTCAATGACACAGAGAAATTAACAATGGGCCAAGCACCGAACTCTGCGGGACCCAATGAGGACTGACTGAGGAAAAGACAGACTAGACCCCATACGAACACACATCTCTCTCCCTTCCAGAAACGTGGTAATCCATTGTAGTGCACGTCCTGATATTCCATAGGATCAAAGTTTCAAGAAGAGGCGAGAATTTAGTAGTGTCGAAGGCCTTGGTGAAGTCAATAAACAGTACATCTACTACATGACCCCGATCCAAAGCATTCGCCCAACATTCGTGTGCAACTAGCAAATTATTCATGCAGGTGTAACCCTTGTGAAAGCTGTGTCGAAGTGGACTGAGCAGACCAAACGGCCGCAGGTGGTTTTTAAGCACATCCCTAACCAACCTCTCCAATAAATTGACCAGTACGCTTGTCAAACTTACCGCTTTATAACTGGCAGGGAGATGCCTGCCGCCTTTTTAAAAATCGGACAGACGACAGCATCCTTCCGCTCCTTGGGAAAGGAGCAGTTGCGAAGGGACAACTGAAACAAACGTGTCACTGGGCCACATAGCTCGCTTGCGAGTTCGTACAAAAGCTTTGGGTAAATATCGTCCATCCCGGCGGATGCAGACCCTGAAGTAGATAGAGAACTTGTGCCTTCGAAACTGAAACGTTAGTTAAACAGGAGTCTTGTGAGACTCTCATCGCTAAGTCAACATGTAGCAACTGCTCAACCCGAACAAAAGTCCCGGCATACTGCGCACTGGGTACATGCTATTTCGTGATCCGTGTTGGCAATGGCGCCGTCGCTGCCTAATAACACGGACAGATGAGCCAACGTTACTATGTCTTTTGACGTAAGCGAAGAATCGTTTGGGTTTTCCGGAGGCTGAGTTAACCAGCTACATCTCATAGCTAAGTCTAGTAGATCGTAAATGACTTTTGCAAGCAGTTCGCACTTCACGATAACGCCGAAAAGTACATTTCGATAGCAATTTTCGGCAGATCCGTCAGCATCTCGCCCATGTACTCATTAGCTGGTGTGCGACAGTCGAATCATGGTGGCTTTGCTTTGACAATCATCACCGAAATAGGGATGTGGGCGTGGGAAATATTAAAGAGGAAGGAATTAAGCGTAACCCAAGCGGCCTGTATATCATCATATGGCAAGATGACGCATGGGTAACTTACTGCCTTGGCTTTAATAGACTGTAAGTCGGTGTGCAAAATGTTCGGAGTCCGGACCCTGTGTGATTCGTAGTCTTTATGGAGAGCACAATTGAATGACAAACATACATGCTCACTGGCAACCAAAGGGGGACTATACTCAAGGGGTCTCACGAAGTCAACCGACTTTGCGAAAACAAGGTCCAAGAGAGAAGGAGCATGACCCTCCAAGTACCTGGTGCGTCGATCGACAAAGTGGTGTTAGGGTACGTCCAGTGTCAAGTCGAGAATTTCGACAGCCAACACTTGTCGCTGCCTCATAAGATAGGTCACGTCAAAGCTGAATTTAGGGAGCACGCTGTGTGGTTGGGTTGCGAATCGCAACCTCTATTGAGACCTCGGCTCACTTTGAGGTAAACCTCGGTCATTCCGATCTCGAGGACCGTATCCTGAATGGAAATATTTGGGTGTTACTTTTCCCAACCCTGGCACACCACGTCAAGTTACTTCAGGGATGTTGAAGTCCCGCATTAGCGAAGCATCTGATCGCAGAGTAAGTGCGGATGAAGTAAATTTAACTCCTAGAAGCGCTATCCGGACTCTAATGCAGCAACACAATTTTAAATTAGGTTGACTCAGTAGACTTCTACTCAGAGCTACCAAACCTTTAGCATTTGAGTAAAAAGTGTGTTACTGATATGTTTACACTACATCCGTGGCGATCAGATGGGCGTTCAGATCTCAGTATTGCGTCAACCGGAGTTCAAGTGGTGAATTGATCTTGACAGTTCACAACTCACACCAAAAAAGTAAAACTGTGGCAGCACATATCAAGCAACCTTAGCGTATAAACTGACAGTGAATAATGTCCTAACATAAAAAGGCAAGGGTAACCAGAAAATGTACGCGATAAATGCAAATGAAACTTACAAAAGACTGCGAACTACACGGCAGCATAATAACCCACTTAAGCCATTACAATGAGCTGCACTACTAACAAGGGATAAAGCAAATGTGATGTACGAGTAAGGACGTACCACAGCACAACCGCGTGCAACGCAAAAATCAAGCAACCGCGCACCTCCACTCTCGGAGTTCACGCATTTGCGGAAACGTAACTAAACAAGGAAGTGAAAATTGACGTATTTAATCACAGAAGTTTGTATATAATACGTATACAAACTCAGCTGGAATGCGTGCTTTCACGTAAGTTTAACATTTGCCTGCATTGACTAGCGGTGTCCCACTGGATCGGTCAGGTCAGGTCAAGTCTGGTTAGATGAAACGGACGACAGAGGCTTTCGCCTAACCAGCGTCCAGTTGCTTGTGCCGGCAAGTGAAGCGGTCCCCGGCACTTAGACGTTGGATTGATTCTTCTTGCATCTACAAAGGAATCAAGCGAGAACAAGAGCAATCTTTTAGATTTCATGTGTCAGCATCAAATTACACTACATGTTCCAGTACAATTACAATATCACTGGCAAAAGGACAGACCAGCACGCATCTAAGCCACTTTTGAAGGCTTCTACAGACGCATATTCCACTAAATCAGAAGGAAGTTTATTCCGGATGTTAACTACTCGGTTCGTACAAAATTTTGCCCGGATGTACAAACGAGCTCTATGTTGTTTGGGCTTCAGGCGATGTCCGCGCAGGTGGTCTGACATAGCTTACACAGACAAATGGGTGGGACTAATGCTACTAAGCCTCTTAACGATATTTTGCGTAGCTATGAAATCCCCTCTCAACCTGCGCCGTTCCAAGGGAAATAATCCCAAGCTACTTGGACGATCTTCGTACGATTTCCATCCTTGACCTTCGATCATCCTGGTCGCAAGTTTCCGATTGTTTTCTAAACACATGGCGTCATTACGGAGGTACAGTGCCCAGGCCTGAACACAATACTCCAGAGGTGGCCCAACCACTGCTTTATATAAAGGCAAGAATACTTCTGCTTTAGTGTTACTCAGCGCCCTCCTAAGACGAAATAACGCTTTTCAAGATATTCATCAATTACTTCCCGTCGGAACTTTAGTTGGGTTGCTTGAGTTACGCTGACATTTTGAAGTTGTGGATGGAGGTATCCCGCCTTACGATGCGGACCGAGTGCAGGCTACACTTGATACTTTGCACGAGTGCTCAGTTAAATGGCGATTGCCCATAGATCGCGATAGGTACTCGGTCCGCCCTATTAGTGCGCCTGAGCATTCCGGGACGTACCGCACTGGTAGGGCGTTGCTTAGAATCTCCATCCTTGAAAAAGACCTCTGCGTGTTGGTGTCATCTGATCTACGGACCACACTGGACACGTTACGAATAGTTGATGCTGCCAACATGATGTCCCATGCCATACGAAGAGCCTTCTCGCGTTTGAACCTGGATACCTTCCGACTCTTGTTTACTTCCCATATGCGCCCCATTCTCGAATACGGATGACCTGCCGTCTTCCCCCTCACTAACTTCGAATGTGACCTCATTGGAAAGGTCCAACGGCAGGCATCGAGATACATCTTGGAGGTATGGGAATTGGCTTATCCCCTGAGATATAGCGGATTAACCTGTTCTCCCTGGATTACCGTCGACGTCGCGGTGCCCTGAGTTTCACCAGGCGCATCCTGAGAGGAGAGTTGGGAACGGAACTGCAGGCGTGCTTTCAATTCAGTGCAAATGGGGCCGTTTGATTTCACTATGAGGAAACCGTGTTGTTTGAGGACGTTTCGTGGTAGAAATCGTACATAACAACCGTGTAACCTAGCGACATTATCTTGAGGAAAAGTGTGCAACAGTTAGAAAGTGTAGAGTAAATGGGCTTGTGTAATGAATTGTGATGCAATAAAAATGGTTACGGGTAAGGGTTCATATGTATGATGTTTGTTTTATTATTTCGGTGGCCATACTTGACGTTGCTGCTACTGCTATGGTGGTAGATGACGGTGAGCTGTTCAGGTCTTTGGCTAGGGTGAAGTATGACAGTGTTGAAGACAGGGAGGAGCATTTGGGACGTTTTCATTTTGTAACGGCGACTTGTTTTTTCCGAGTGTCTTCCGTGACCGCGGTGGTATACAAGCGTGAAAGGGGAAAGCAGTCGCCGGATGCGGGTGGCTACGGTTACGTCCTGTATCGTTGCGTTCATTCTCAACATTTCGGATCCCGTGGCAAGCGGTGAGTTAATAGTTATGCATCACGTAAACTAAGGCATGCAGATACAAGTCGTACAATTGCAAGGCGCGGTTCTCGGTAGTTATGAAGGAGGGTAGATATGTCGTCGGAAGTTACTGCATGATCCATAGTCATGATTTCCACCTGGGTAACCCCTGGTTTTACGCACGGAACCGTCGGCTGTCACTGCGACAGGAGAAGGAAGTGCTGCGGTTGATGGACAGTTTCCCCAGCGCGCCGGATTTGAGGCGGTTCATCTATCAGGAATATGGCCAGCGTGTAACTCGCATGGACCTGAGTAATTTGCGCATAAGTCATCGAACTAGAACAGTGAGGTTTTGGAGGTGGCATCCATGTCGGAACGTAACGGTGTTTGCCGGTTGGTGTCGGGAGGGAGCCAGCTTTGGTATGTGTTCTTTTCTCTATCTGTTGCCCGTGGCATCGTTAAACGGCATGGTGAGGTTTTATAATGCGCTGCTACACACCAGTTAAATAATGGGGGATATGTATTGTGGCATTGCATGTTCGTGGACGTCACAGGTCTAGGGATTTCTTTTTTCTACGCCTTTTTACCAGATGAGACGTCGTACAGCTTTGGGCAAGCGGTGGAGTCGATGCTGGAAATGGTGCTTAGCAGCAGACATTGCCGTACGGTGGTGATGGATAAATGTGCAGCTCAGGTGATGTCGTTTCATTAGTTCTATTCAAACACAAAGATCGTGTTTTGCCGCTGCCATATGAAAGTTGACATGAGTAGATGGTGCGGGCGCTTATGTGGGATATCTGATGCTCGGCGAATACAGTTACGCGCATGGCTGCATAAGCTGATTTACACCCGTGATGCGTCCCTGTTTGAAAGGTTATTGAACGCGGTGCGACTGGGTAATGCTGAATGCTACCGTTATTTGTGCGCAACACATCTCCAATACGCGGACTCTTGGGCGGCTCACAGACAGAGGGATGTTGTGCTTCTCGAATGCCATACGACCAACAGGGTGGAGAATGAAAACAAGCGTCTGCAGGAGTATTTGTTTGAGAGATTCCCCTTGCTGACTCTCTTCACCTGCATCGTTGATCGGGTCAGCAGTATGGTGAATGAAAGGAACAGCGTAATAGGTAGGCGCTGCATGAGCGCGGTTTCCATTCAATCTGAGGTGTCTTCAGCGGCTTCCGTTTACACACGGCTCGGCGATTTCGCAGGGAATGTATTCCTATCCCATTTCCGGGCATCCAAAGTTCTCGGTTGTCTGTCTGCTGGGCCACATTGATTAGTTTCCTGTCCTCGGTCCAAGGTGCGTCTCGTTTACATCATCCGTGGAAGCAATTGTGATTGCGAGTTTAGTCGGCAGTGGCGGCTACCATGTGCTCACATTTTTACGTCGCGCGCCTTCACGGACGTGCGGCGGATGAAACGCTGAATGCTTGTCGGTGGATTGCGCCCCGGCAAGCTCCCGCAGGTAGCTCAGACGGTGTGCCGGAGGATAGTGCTTTGGAGATCCGAGATCGTCAGCCCGCGGATAGCAATGCCGTTGTCAGCCGTACTTTGAAACTGCGCAAGACCCAAGAGGTGTTGTCGGACATTAGCACTCAAGTATGCAGCTATGAAGCGGATAACTTCTCCGTGGCAGTAAACTCCTTGAAAATGCCTGCCTCACTGATGTCGAAGGAAGGAAGTTTTCGTTGCATGATCGCACATCGAAGTGGCCTGTTCCCTTTCCCCTGGATACTGAAGCTAACGTAAGGATGTTATGTGGTTTACCAACGCCGGGAACGGCACATGATGTCACAGCGGTCCCCGTAGCCACAACATCAGGAAGCGAGGTTCCGAAGCCCTGCTTGCCACTGAGGTGGATGACGTCCGCCCATTGAGTTCAACGCAACCAACGGTGCCCTCCATATCAGCAACATGGGCAAGAAAGCGCAAATCGCCACGGAAGTGCCACGTGACGGAGGTCATACCCGGTAAGAGTGCTCTAACCGGCAAGGATTTTCGAAAGCTTCACACTACCACATACTCCTCCTACAGGGTGCCCGTTAAACGGAAACGGCTTACGCAGGGAGGCAGTTCCGAGAACCTCGGTGGAGTCTGTCAGCGAAACGATGATGTCCAAGGTCGCGGTGACGCCGTGGAGTGGGTTATGTGCGATGTGTGCTCGCAATTGTACCATGCAGCCTGTGTTTGCTACGCGGATGATGCGGATTTCGTGTGCTCCTCTTGCTCGTCGTTGTGCGTGTGCAACCTCCCGAAACGGCCTCGGCTGACACTCTCTCCAGGTATGCCTCATTTGCACGCACACCCCTTATGCCCTTTCTGGTTACTGCAGACTACATTGCGCCTTCTTTGATGAAAATCCATGTAGCTGACAAGTGAACAACGTGTGACTCCGCAGTATTTTTAACTTCCAAGTCAACACCCTCACAGCCACACCTGCGCCACACTATTCTGCGAGGGTAAGTTTTCTGTTCCCGTTCATTAAGAATGTTTCAGCTGTGCCTCATCAATTGCATTCACAATGATGATGTAATGCAACACACCGCACTGCTGGCCTTCTAACTGAACGTAAGATTGGTTGTCTCCTTGCAATCAACCATCAAGCATGGTATTAGGAAATCCGAGTCCACCGGTTTGCAAGATATTCGGTTAAGAGCCGCCCGGTGTTTTCCCAGTTGGCGTAACGCATGTTCAAGGCTGATGAGGAACCGCACGCGCACCAGCCAACGGTTGAGGGTGAGTTGCGCCGGAACTCCTCGACGTGGTTGTTCCACTGACCTGCCATGGATGCCATACTTGTTGTACTACAATCTTCGCTTACCTGTGATTCCAATTCTTAGGATTGGCGCCTTCGCATGACAGTACCCCAGGTTCTTCTTGTCCATTCCTGCGCATGGAACCACAATAACCGTACAGCGTCGCAGTCCATTTCTTACGCTGA